TCAGTTGTGGACATATTTTGTTTTAATTTATCGAGATTAGTTAAAATAAGCACTTCAAAACCCTTGTTTTAACATTCGGCTCATCTCAACATTTCTCTTAGTTTATTTTCTTTTCTAGTGGTTGTGTGCTCCATTTATCTGACTTTTCATGTCAGGCACTTTTTAATAGTGTTCTAGGTTAAGTTAAGTTGTTAAGATTGTAGGTTTTGTTATCTTTCCCTGTTATTTTATTAGCAGACAATTGTTTTATTAGAGTTTGTGTAGGACAAAATTATTTTGCAGCTGGACTGAGACAATTCTATGTTTACCTCTAGGACGTCTGAAAGTCTGGCACTATATCTCGGCCGAAAAAAGAACAGTGGACTAACTAATGATTGGTAAATGTACTGTTTTTAGTTCAAAACTCCCCTGAAGGCACCTAAAACTGGTTTGTTTATGAATGAATGGCACCTGACGTGACCAGTTAAACTTTCTGTCTTGGCTTTTAATTCAAGAGGGCACTAGAAAAAACTGGCTGGAAACTTTTAGGCAGCTTTCCTGAAACCAAGATTTATTATACAGCTTTTGCAACTCAATCCTGAGATAAAGCACATATTCATTGAGAGTATGTCAGACCCAAGAAGCTGTGCCTGGAAGCCTCCCAGACTCTCAATGATTGCTGGTACTTTCTCCTGCTATACCAAATTCTTTACCTTTAATAAAACTTTTACATGAATGTGCTCTTTGGAGATTTTTAAGTTCTTTCAGTGATCTCATCAGTTGTAATCCTTGCAAAATTGAACTGTGAAATCTGGTTGTTGTGTGGCAGCTTCAATCCCCTTTCAAATCAATTTTTTTTTTTTTTTAGACAAGGTCTCGCTCTGTCACCCAGGCTAAGGTGCAGTGGCATGATCTCAGCTCACTGCAGCCTCAGTCTCCGGGGTTCAAGCAATCCTCCCACCTCCCAAGTGGTGGGGACCACAGGCACAAGTCGTCTTGCCCAACTAATTTTTGTACTTTTGGTAAAGATGGGGTTTCACTAAGTTTCCAGGCTTGTCTTGAACTCCTGGGCTAAGTGATCCACCCACCTTGGCCTCCCAAAGTGCTGGGATTACAGGTGTGAGCCACCATGCCCAGCCTCACTTTCAGATCTATTACTACTGGCAGAGATGCTTTGTATCTGCTCCACACATGTGTGATTGAGGGGCCAGTGAAAGATACAAGCAGGCAGAATTTAGACACTCCCTTTCTGACTCTTTCCTTCCAACATTTACCTACACTCTTCAATGGTAACCATCTCCGGAACTTCAGTTTTCTGGTTCCCCAGGCCATTTTCCACCACACTTTTCTGAGCCCCGCTGCTTCTGGCATCATCTGTACTCGGTCTCAGGCTGAAAGTTTCAAAAAATGAGAACTCACTTTGTAGAACTCCCCTCTTCCAAACAAGTACACTCCCATAGAGTCTCTTATCTGCTTACTCTCCAGGGATTTGGCTAGCTGTTGTTTGTTTTAGGTTCAGAGTTTATGGTTATTTTCTATGGAGAATTCAGTCTGGTTTGATCTTACTTCATCACTAATGGAAGTGGACTTCTGATGAGATTTTTAAAATATTGCCCTTTTCCATGAAAGTTGTTTTAAATGGAAAAAAGCTAAATTTTAGTTTAGTTTTCAGCAGAGAAAATCTATTGCCAACCATGAGCTAACAGAGTGTCTTAGAAACACAGCATTTAAAGGAGAACCCTGTTTCATCCAAAAAATGATATTTTTTTTCAAGACAAGAATTGTTCAGAAAAATTATTTTTACCAAAAAAAGCATTGATCAGTTGTCTACTCATTGTACCTAAGTGGTACAATGAAGTACTTGACACACTACAGTCCTGACATTATTAGATGATGACAAGCAGTTGCCAATAACAACTAGAAAGAAAGATTGCTATACATGCTATATGAATATTTAATCTTTGTTTCTTTTTCACAGTGTTAATGTACTGTCTTCTTGAATTCTCATAATAATCCAATGAGATACGTATTACCTATCCATTTAGTAGATGAGCAAATAGACATTATAGGGAGGGAAGACATATACTAAAAGATAACACCTGGCCTGTTTGATTCATCAGCCGGGCTCTTAATTACATGTACTACATGATCAATTACTATGAGTTAGTTGACATTTGTAAGTATATATGTGGATATGGGTCTGTGTATGTGTGTGTAAGTATGCTTTTAGGATATTTTTAGTAACTGATACTCCCAACACAGGAAAAAAACATTATTAAAGAAAAAGGTACTGCCTGGTGTTAACTCTGTAAAAGTTCTTTGTGTACATTGGTATTAAATTTATCAATAAATGAATGTGTTTTGTATGAGAAATATAAACATTTATTTTACACCAAAGTTATTTTCTTTATAATATGTAAAATAATTATGTCCTATAGTTGGTACCTCTGGAAGCCCTAATAGTGTATTTCACAGTGTCATAGTTATAGTTTTAGGCCTGAAAAGCAACAGTTGGCAAAATACAATTTGCAGGCCAAATTCCGCCCGATACTTATTGCTGTAAATTCTGTTCTATTCTATTCTACTCTGTTCTATTCTACTCTGTTCTCTTCTATTCTATTCTATTCTATTCTATTCTATTCTATTCTATTCTAATGATTGGAATGCAGCCATGGTCATTTTTTATGTATTTTCTATGGCTACTTTTGTGTGACAGCCGCAGAGTTGAGCTGTCGCAGCCAATACTGTATTGTCTCCAAGCCTACAGCATTCACTCTCTGAGCCTTTCAGAGAAGGTTTGCTGACTCCTACCCTTATAGGAAACTGAAGGTTCTCTAAATTTTTTCTCTTGCCCACTTTCCATTTTCCTATTTTATTAATAGGATACTTTAGATTCAGAGAGGCTTACTGGATCACATAAATTAATTATATATCCAGGACTAGAACCCAGGTCTCTTATTTCTCACCTTAGTACTTTGAATTAAGTTGTGGTAGTCTTTTTTTTTTTTGGAAGGCGCATGTTGACAGAAAGAGAGGGCCTCTTAGTGGATTTCTTTTCCTATGTTAAAATGATTTCCCACAGGGTGAATTAGGTTCATGATCTAGAAGAATTTTTCTTTCAGGTTCACAAACACAAAATCATATCACAATGCAACCTGTTTTAAAAGGCTACATTTTTACCCAGATAACACACATTTTGGTAGGCTATCATTTTGAAAACCCATGCCAATAGAGAGAAAATAGTTTTTTCACTCTATGCCTGCTTTTCTCAAGTTACCTAACCTTCTATCTACTGAAATTTTCAAGTGTAATTGACCTTTTTAAAGGTGGTTGCTGACTTTACTGAGCTAATTTCCAAAGCTTTAAGATTGATAATAAGCGTTTCAGAAAGTTAGCAGTCATGTATTTAAGAAGAAAAATATGTCCACATTTAAGTGTCATTTTAATGTAACATGTACATAAATTTACTTTTTTTTTTTTTTTTTTTTTTTTTTTTTTTTTTTTTTTTTTGAGACGAAGTCTTGCTCTGTTGCCCAGGCTGGAGTACAGTAGCACAGTCTTGGCTCACTGCAACTTCTGCCTCCTGGGTTCAAGTAATTCTTCTGCCTCACTTCTGCCTCAGCCTCCTGAGTAGCTGGGACTACAGGTGCCCAACACCATGCCTGGCTAATTTTTGTATTTTTAGTAGATACAGGTTTCACCATATTGGCCAGGCTGATCTCAAACTCCTGACCTTGTGATCTGTCCTGCCTCAGCCTCCCAAAGTGTTGGGATTACAGGTGTGAGCCACTGCACCCGGCCATAAATTTACTCTTTATGTTTCCAAGGTGTGAGGTCTTATTCTCAACCTTGATTTCCTCTAAAAACCAAATGGGATAAAAACTAAAGACTTCATGCCTACAGTTTTATTTGTGTATATATGCCAAGCCTTCCATGGGTTGGCACAGACCATGATGATGGGACAGCAGCCCCTTGCTGCACAATGAAAAACATTGTTACCATTAAAATCTTGATATAAACATTTTTTTACAAAGCCTTTTACTTGCATTGGGTCATTGGAATCCCTCTAATTTTTTTTTTTTTTTTTTTTTAGATGGAGTCTCGCTCTGTCACCCAGGCTGGAGTGCAGTGGCCGGATCTCAGCTCACTGCAAGCTCCGCCTCCCAGGTTCACTCCATTCTCCTGCCTCAGCCTCCCGAGTAGCTGGGCCTACAGGCGCCCGCCACCACGCCTGGCTAATTTTGTGTATTTTTAGTAGAGACGGGGTTTCACTGTGTTAGCCAGGATGGTCTCGATCTCCTGACCTCGTGATCCGCCTGCTGTGGACTCTCAAAGTGCTGAGATTACAGGTGTGAGCCACCGTGCCCGGCCCCTCTCACTTTTTAATAGGCCATTTACTCTGGAATAGTGGTCCGAAAATTGGCAGAATATGGTATTTAATTGGTGAATTTATTTTAAATGCAGATGACTGGAATCCACCAGAGATACACTGAATGTGAGTTGTGGGATGGGAGCAGTCAGGGATCTGTATATTTTAAAAGCTCTGCAGGCAGGTGATTTTGAAGCACACCAAAGTTTCTTTGGTATTGAGGAAAATTTAATTTTTATTTATTTCTTTTATTTTATTTTTTTCCAAGCCAAACCGTATCCAGCTTTATTAAAGATACTTTCCATAAACAATCATGGTATTTCAGGCAGGACATGGACAGACAATCGTTAACAGTATACAACAACTTTCAAATTCCCTTCTTCAATGGACTACCAAAAATCAGAAAGCCACTATAAAACCCAATGAAGTCTTCATCTGATGCTCTGAACAGCGTGAGGGTTGACATTTCACATTTAGTTCTTTAACAACTTTTCACAAGCCGACTCTGACTTTCAGGAAGTGAAATGACAATAGAATTTTTCTGAAGATCCACGATCTAGAAACAGAACCACTGTTCTTTTGACAGGTGCCATCTCAGTGGCATTACTGGAAAGTCTAAATTGCCTGACACGCTGGTAACCAATGACTAGGGGTCAGGTCCCAACGGATATCTGGGCTTAAGGGAGTTAAGTCGATGCTGAGAGATGGAAAAGGAGAAGAGGACCTAAAAATGAGTTTGTTTTGCCATATCACAAGGCTTTTGTGCCAAGGTGGCCAAGTGTGTCAAAGTCAGGGAATCCTTCCTCCTGGGAGCCAAGAGGAAGTCTCTCAGAACTAGAAGGGAAAGGTGTTTTCCCCACATCAGTCCAGCTACGGAGACATTCTATTAGTGACATAGGTCCCTTCCCCCAAAAACAACGATGAAGTGTTCTGTGTGCTAACGACATAGCTTAAAAAAAAAAAAAAAAAGAAAACAAAATTCTGCATTTTTATAAAGCTTGATAAAAAATAGTATTTCAAACCATACAGTTACCAGAAGTACACAGTTATCAAAAATGCACACACTTCACTTGGCCTCTCCAGCACCTTCAGCTTTCTGTGCCTGGTCTATTTTGGCATCTCCATTTTCTGCAGGGTTATTCCCCTCCTTGCCAGAATCAGCTTTTCCCTTTTTCCCTCTCGGTACCTTCTCTCCCTTCTTTGCAGGGGCCTTTTCAAGCTTGGACTTTGGTTTTGGAGGAGCAGGTTTAGCAGACAACCTTGCGGATCTTCTCTGTGGTTCGTCCTTCACCTTGGCTTTATCTCCTTTAGCATCCGCTTCAGACTTTCTCTTCGACGTGGAGGCGGCGGCGGCGGCGAGGGCGGCTGGACGTAGGCGCCGGGTGCGGGAGGCAGGGGCGCGCGGGCTTCGGTGGGTCAGCGAGTCGTTCTCGTCTCTTCTTCTTCACACTGCTCGGGCTCCGAGGAGTTTATAAAGTGAAACTTTTCACATGACAATCTGGAAAACTGGGTTCTAATCCTGGCTGTCTTGTTAAATTGCAATGTGGCCTTGAACAAGTCGCTTGGATAAGCAGCCAAAAAGGAGGAAGGGGTCTCCTATGGAAGGTCCCTGTTTTTTTTGTTTTTTGTTTTTTGTTTTTTAGAGTTGTTCAATTTCTTTAGTTTTCTCAACTGTAAAAAGGAGGACATAACATTATTTACCTTGGGTTTGCTGTAAGGAAATTGCTTGTCACATAATAACAACTCAAAAGTTAACTTGTTAGATTGTATTTTTATTATAATCATTATTAATATTGATGCCAAAATGATACAGAACTATAATTCAGTGTAATAGACATACTATTTTTCCCCACACAACCAAGAAACAACTGGTCTCATTCATTCATTTAGATAAGTAATTGTTGCTACCCACTAGGGTCCAGGTACTGCACTGTGAGGAAAAGGAAGAGAGATCAGCCTGTTACTGTGTCTATATAGAAAGAAGTAGACATAAGAGACTCCATTTTGTTCTGTATTTGAGATACTGTTCATCTGTGACCCTACCCCTAACCTTGTTCTTGCAAGAGACATGTGCTGCGGTGACTCAAGGTTGAATGGATTTTGGGCTGTGCAGAATGTGTCTTTGTTAAACAAGTGCCTGAAGGCAGCTTGCTGGTTAAAAGTCATCACCATTCTCTTAATTTCAACTACCCAAGGACACGTACACGGCCAAAGGTCGCAGGGACCTCTGCCTAAGAAAGCTAGGTGTTGTCTAAGGTTTCTCCCCATGTGATAGACTGAAACAATGCTGCTAAAAGGTTTATGGAGATGTTTGCATATGCATCTCAAGGCACAGCATTTTCCATTAAACTTATTCATGTCACAGAGGTTTTTGTTCATATGTCTTACTGCCGATTTCCTCTTTTTTTCTTTGATCCTATTGTCCTGCCACTTCCTTGTCTTTAAGATGGTAAAGATAATTATCAATAAATACTAAGAAATACTAAGGGAACTCAGAGACGGGGCCGGCGTAGGTCCTCTGTAAGCTGAGCGCCGGTCCCCTAGGTCCCCACTTTCTCTTTCTCTATACTTTGTCTCTGTGTCTTATTTCTTTTCTCAAGTCTCTCGTTCCACCTTACGAGAAACACCCACAGGTGTGGAGGGGCAGGCCACCCCTTCACTGCACTAAACTCGGGACACAGGATTGGATACTATGGGGTCTCTGACCTTAAAAGACTGATATCCCAGTGGCCCGTGTGGTGACTCAAGCCTGTAATCCCAGCACATTGGGAGGCTGAGGCAGGCAGATACCTGAGGTTGGGAGTTTGAGACCAGCCTGGCTAACATGGTGAAACCCAGTCTCTACCAAAAATACAAAAATTAGCTGGGCATGGTGGTGGGTGCCTGTAATTCCAGCTACTTGGGAGGCTGAGGCCAGAGCATTGCTTGAACCAGGGAGGCGGAGGTTGCAGTGAGCTGAAATCGCACTACCGCACTCTAGCCTGGGTGATAGAGTAAGACTCTGTCGCAAAAAAAAAAAAAAAAAAAAGAAAGAAAGAAAGAAAAAAGATTATATCCTCCTTGTCAAAAGACATATATAGCTAAATATTGAAGCTGCTACTTTTTCTAAAGAAAGCCACAAGTGTTTGCTGAAAAGCCATTTCACCCACTTCCACAAAGATGATAATAGCTTCTATTAAATAGTTCATCTCTCTTCTTGAGTAGTGTGGCATATATATTATATATTAGACAATATTGTATTTTTGGCTAATTCATTGCTGTATGAGTAGCTTAGATAAAATGAGCTAAGAGGATTCAATTAAGTTCTCATTCTGATGGCACTCACTATCTTTGACTTTTATAAAGGTTTATAATCCTTGTTGCTGTAATTTTAAACACTTAATAAAAATAGTGTTAATAGCCTTTTCATCATTTAAACAGTCTTCCTTTGAGAATTCCGTTATTGCTTTTGATAAATTCCTTCTAGAAAGCATATGAGGAATGGGAAATGGTTAGATTATCATGAACATGTATAATATCAATGTTTCCTTTGTTAAAAATAGCACTAAGAATATTCAAAGATGTCATGCTTATTGTTCTATAAACTAAAACAACGTTTTCTACTAAGTTGAATAAGAATATAGATTGAACATACTTCCTTTTCTTATCTGCTCTCTCCTCCTCAAGTGTGAATTGAAGAAATTTCCCTAGGGGAGGAAAAAAATAGATCTTCCCTACATAGAAGTCAAATAATAAGTTTAAAAAAATTTGTAAAACATATGAAAAACAAAATCTAAAAAATACCTAGTTGAAAACGAATTCAGATTTCATGAAACAACATTAATAACAATAACAGATAATGAACAAAATATATTAACAAAATCAAAATGGCTAGCACATTAAAAACATTGCCACTAGTTCTTTAAGAAATACAGATTAAAGTGAAATCACATTTTTCTATAAAATTAGTATAATTTTTTTTTATAATCCATAGGTTCACAGAGGTAAGTAGAGATTTCAAAATAGCAATATGTAACATTGATAAGGGTGTGATGATACCCCCTTATTCAATGCAGCCGTGTTTATAAATGATAATTTTTTGAACGTTTTAGCAATAAAGCATCAGTCTTATTTATTTATCTATTTATTTATTTATGTATGTTTTTGAGACAGGATCTTGCTGTGTTGCCCAGGCTGCTCTTGAACTTCTGGGCTCCAATGATCTTCCTGCTTCAGTCTCCCAAAGTGCTGGGATTACAGGCGTGAGCCACTGTGCCCAGCCAAGCATCAGTCTTAAACCCACATACACTGTTTTTATCAATCTAATCTCTGAGGGATGCACATGATAGAAACCTCCACTCCAAACCAGCTTAGGTGAAACAGGGAATTATTTCTTGTGGATTATATCAGGATAGATTCTGTTACTGAAATTATATTGTTAGGAATCTGCCCCTTTTCTTTTCTTTCTTTTTTTTTTCTTTTTTCTTTTTTTCTTTTTTTTTTTTTTTTTGAGACAGAGTCTTTCTCTGTAGCCCACACTGGAGTGCTGTGGCGCGATCTCGGCTCACTGCAAGCTCCGCGTTCTGGGTTCACGCCGTTCTCCTGCCTCAGCTCCCCGAGTAGATGGGACTACAGGTGCCCGCCACTGTGCCCGGCTAATTTTGTGTATTTTTAGTAGAGACGGAGTTTCACCTTGTTAGCCAGGATGGTCTCGATCTCCTGACCTCGTGATCCACCCACCTCGGCCTCCTAAAGTGCTGGGATTACAGGCATGAGCCAACGTGCCCCATCGAATCTGCCCCTTTTCATCTCTAGTTGCCACCTCTCCTCTGTGTTAGCTTCATACCAAGGCAAGCTCTCTCAGTGATTGCTAGAAAGTTGGACCGGTGAACCCAAAATATCAGAGACAGCTCTCAACCAATGTAGAAAGTTTATTCTGCCGAGGTTAAGGAGGTCCTGAGGGTCATGTTCCCAAGGTGGTGGTGGGGGAGACTGCCAGGTCATAGGTAGATAAGAGACAAAAGGTTGCATTCTTTTGAGTCTTTGATGAGCCTTTTACTGAATACACAATTTATTCTGGCTCAGTGAGTCTGTATTTTTACATAAACAATAGGGCAGAGGAGGCAATCAGATATGCATTTGTCTCACGTGAGCAGAGAGAGGATTTTCTGTCCTGCACCTGTGAAGATATATGGTGGGGGATGCAGGGGTTGGGATGGAGTGAAATTCAACACAACTGATTCAGGGTAAATATTTTGAGGTCACGAGAAATTTCCTTGCGGGCAAATTGTGAGGGAGGTATGTAGCTCTTTTATCTTTGTAGTTATCTTATTTAGGAATTAAAATGGGAAGCAGATTTGCCTGATTGTGGTTCCCAGCTTGACTTTTCCCTTGGCTTAGTGATTTCAGGGTCCAAAGATTTATTTTCCTTTCACAGGCTGATATCAGATAGCCAACCCTAATGAAAGGGAATGGCTTTTCCACAGTAGTTCCTAGAAAAGCCCAAGAGTGAGCCTGGTTGCCTGAGTTAGGTCTCATATTCAGTCCCAAACCAGTCACTGCAGGGAGGAGGGTAGAATGCCCTGACTGCCCACGCTGGGGTCCTGCACCAGCCTTGAAGGCAGGGACGGAGTCAGCTTTATCCAAGCTCCTTGGGATACAGTGTGATTCTCCAAAGTAAGATGTTACCACCAAAAGAAGGGGAAATGGAAGTGAGTCAGGAAAAATCAACAGATGCTCACTGCACAGTTTCATCCTTAAATAACACTCCTGTAAATCAATATTAAGAAATAATAAATGCAAAGATTAACATCCAAATGTTTAATACAGCTTTGGTTATAATACTTAAAAAAAAAAAAAGAACAAAATCCCAAAACCTTGAATAATACTGTTGTTTGACAATAGGCAAATTGTAAATTAAGAAGTACAAAATGTATTAGGGAGCCATAAAATTATGTTTCAAATACCCTTTAGTGCTTATGAGGAAAGTATACTTTATGATATAAAGTCATAAAGGCAGAATGTCATATATACAGTAAGAGCTCACCTATGTAAAAAAAAGTGCAGAAAACAAACCTAGGACAATCTATTAAAATAATAATTAGTTCTAAGAACTGTTGGACTTATTCATAAAACATGGTTTTTTTGGAGTGTTATTTAATGGCAAGAATTTTTATTCTGAATATTATTTCTTTATAATTTCCATACGTTTACATATGTTACAATAAGAAACCGAGAGGTGCGCTGCATTTAACTAGAAATTCTAATAACTTCACTTAAATTATTATGATATTCCAAACATCATTTTAAAGTGCTTTCGGGTACGCTGTCTCATAATGTCTCACATAGTCAGTTGTCAGTTTGATTTGCTCCATAAGGGTATTGTTCTTCTATAGGAGCCATAAATAAAAGCTGTTGATTGACACAGTGATTCATTTGTTCATTCATCCAACTACCTAGG